TGACACTTGAGAGCGTGTTCTCTCGGTCACTGCAGCCAAGTTTCACCTGCCCTTTGTCTCCCAAACAAACACCCTTCTCCGCAGCAGAACAGAAAACGGCCGCCTCTCCCTTTAGGCTGGTTTGTGCAGGTCTAACTGACCCCCCACCCAGCGGTGAGCTGCTGGCAGGCAGAGTCCAGCAGGTTTGTCTCTGAGCCCCCAGCACCCAGCACAGGGCAGGCACCCGGGAGGCTCAGTGAATAAGTGCGTGAAACAAATCAGTGAACAGATGGGTGGGTGGATGGGTGGATGGGTGGGGGATGGGTTGGATGGGTGGATGGATGTGGGTGGGTGGGTGGATGGATCAACGGATGCATTAATGGATACAGGGATGGATGATAGATGGACACACAGGTGAATGGACCTTGGGCAGAGTCAGCTGTTGACCTGGCTTGACCTGACTCAGTAGATGGTTAAACCCGCTGGTAGCTGGGGAGACTGGGATCTTAGCGGGGGAGAGCCTCCCGTGGTTTGAGGGGATACCCGAGCTGGGTTTGGCTCCTGGCTCCACCTGCCCCAGCTGTGTGATCTGGGGTCAGTGGAGTGACCTCTCTGAGTCTTGCCTGGATGGCAGGAGACCACCTCTCCGGACGGGGAGTGTCATTACTGTTAGCAGTAAGGCATGCTTCAGGCCTCTTCCTCCTCCAGCCACATGTTCCGCCCCACCCAGCCCCGGCAAGGAGGCCAGGCCGTCCTCTAGGGGGAGACAGACATCACACAAGCAGCTCCAGCCTGGACCCAAACGAAAGGAAGGAGGACGCTGGTGCTGCTGGTCCCCTGGGCTCAGGGCCATGCTGGTCCGGGCGCCCTGGGGGAACCTGACAGCCCTAAATGCATCTGCACAGTTTGTAACAAAAGGAATAACTAAAGTTCTTTTTAAAATCCAGGCGGCAGAGACGCAGCCACCACAGACGGTGAGAGCCGCCAGCCCAGGCCGGACCGTCTTCCTGCAGGAGGCCGGCATGTTTCCGCTTTCCTATCTTTTGGCGATTTGTTTCTTTTCCTTATCGCTGTGTCTGGTGCGCCCTGCCACTGCGGCACCTGCAGACCTACTTCCGGCTCGGCCCCAGGGCTGTGGCTGCGGTGGACAGAGGGCCAGCCCCTTTCTCCTCCGTCTGTCTGTGTCCTGCTGTGTCTGTGGCCAGTCCCCGCCTTCTCCTGACCTGGCCCATTCTCACTTCCCCGTGGTGCCAAGGCCCTGGCACCTACCAGCTCAGCCTAGGGTTCAGGTGAGGGCACACTGCCCTCCTCTGGCCAGTGGCCTCAGGTGCCTGCTCACACTGCCTGTCCGCCAGGGACAGCGTGGTCATCCAGCCATTCTCCACCCATGCGAA